TCAGTGGGGCAATTGCGATCAACAACGTATATTTGCGATCACAAAAAATCTCGCCAATCGGAGCGCCGACGTTCCTGTTTTAGACCCTACATAGGTGTGGAAAATGTTTGCAAAATCAGCTTTTTGGTGTGCTGACGCCTGACGCGAATACTGTCATCCGACAAGCTTATTACAGTATTACAAACGTTTTTTTTTCAACCGAATCTCACCAACCCAACCCGATTACTGTATTTGATTCTACACGGGACAAATAAAATTGAATAGCATAGCGACTCAACCTTGGTCCATTCGATAAACCGATAATAATCCCCCTACTTTTTTTGTTAATGATTACAATAGGTAGGTACTTAGGACGATGGTTTGTATTCAATCAACATGTGTATACATTTGCAGTATGGCGAACAGATTCCCGTGGGTGACTGGAAAAACAGCCTTGTCTTGTCATATGATTAATTACGCACATCTCTTCACCCCATCACGGCGATGTGTACAAAAATCTTAATCTTTCGGTAGAAAGCCGGTATGTTTACATTGCAGATAACAATATTATCAAATTTATTTCTGCGCTCAAAATTATCGCTTTACAAATGCCAAGAAGTAGTGTTTTTATACTTAATGTAATCAAATGAGTCTGATATTCAATATAATGAGAGGCAAAACCTATATTTTCGATGACTCCCAATGTGCTCTGCAAGTAGTCTATGTCAACTCCTAAACTGATGAATTTAAATAATTACAAATGGTGCTCGTAAAAAAAATTTGGGGTTGCTAGTCTTTTGCGGGTCCCATATATATTTTGAAAGTTAAAAACGGGACAGCGCGAAAGCTGCGACAATTCGTGAACTCAATTCAGTCGTCTTATTAAAAAATTATTACAATGACATTTATTATGATACTGTCTTGTTGCTAATCACGCTGGATAGCTTTACACGCCAAGATTAGAACATTCTCTAAATGGGCATCACTGATCCCAGTTCTTTGCTTGTTCTTTGTAATTTTCATTTTTGAAAATAATTGTTCGCACAAATATGTACTTTCAAGCATCGAAGTGAATGTTTTTGCATGGTTTCTGAAATTTTGATAAAGATATACAAAAATAAAGCAGTGATAAATCTCTCGAATAGAATATGAATTTTATTTCCTTATTGCAAGAATTCTTTTCGATACTTTTAAATAACAGATTGTTGAATGGTATGAATTAGAGCAGGGGTTCTCAAACTTTTGGTGTCGCGGAGCCCTTGAAATTGTTGACTATTATTCACGGAGCCCCAAAATAAATGTTAAAATTGTTACCTCCTGATTAATATTCCTGAGCAAGTTAAAAGTACTTTACTCAATTTAAATGCTGAACCTTTTTTGATAGGGTTAATACGAGTTATAAATAAATCTAAATTTCAAACATAAATTATATATACTAAAGCTGTAAATTTGACACTTGACAAACAGACTAATAAATTAGGGGTCGAATCTTCTCCCTTTTGACATTTTTGGAAGACCCAAAATGCCGCTAATAATGTGCGCGATTGCATTTTGTTACAATCGCCGATTTTTTTCCTCAGCATGGCGGCGTGTTTTTGAACCTACATCTTTACGCCGTTGTTTATTCTCCCTAAATCAAAAATTTCCCTCGGCATATACATGTATTGTTACACAATGACGACGTTAATTGCTTTTTTGTTCTCGTGGGGAATTATGAGTTCAATGTGAAAAATATATTACCATTTTATAGTCATCGGCGACGAACTGCTAAAAATAATAATTAATTAAGAGGTAGATCCGCAACTCAAATTTCTTGATTGAAAAGCGGCATTCTAAAATATTAAAACTAAAACTTAAAATGGAAGATCACACGTTTGGTTTCAGCAGACTCACTGTAGATTGAAAACGCTTTCATAGACATCGTGAATCACAAAATTTGCTGTTATGTTAGATTTTCATCGTAGTAACTGCAAAATCGAAACACAGTCAATTGTGCGTGCGATGTATTTTTTTTTTCCCATTCTGAAACTGCCGACGGAACCGCACGCAATCAATTGTGCGCGCGATCCGCGATGTACCATTTTCATTCTAAAACTACTGATGGAGCCGAATGCAATAAAATAGATTTCAATTGTTCGTATTTTGCCCAAACATTGTGTTTTTTCAAACGGCGATATCTTGCTTAAATATAATCTCAAGTGCGAAAGAACAAATCAAATTTGACAAACCCCAAGATCGCAAAAATACGACTCCAATTTATTTATAGTTGGCAGTTTATCACATATTTTATGTTATTTTAGAATAGTATTCTTTCATTTTAGTAATCCTAATAGTAATTTCGAATCAAAGGTGAGTAAAAATGAACACAATTACATTATTACGACGAGACACTTTAAATGCTGGCATCGGTCATGGATTGAATATTTTACGCAACAGAAATCCCGTTATCCGTTTTTTAATCGCGAATGTTGCGCGGAAATTTTCGATTCTAATTTTCAACCACCTCCCTCTTAAGAATCCTGGCTGCGCTCCTGCTTATAAATAATGTCATTTTTAAATTCCGCCCCTGTGCCATATTTCGAGGCTATATTGTTGTCAGATTTTATCAAAGCTGTTATTGCTTCTTTGAACAGTTACAAAATTAGTCAGTATTTTGAAAAGTAATCGAATAGCTCGCGGAGCCCCTGGGTTTCTCTCGCGGAGCCCTGGGGCTCCGTACGGAGCACTTTGAGAACCTATGAATTAGAGGATAGTTTGAAACAAATACCCCATTTTACAGGCACCAAACTCGCGAACCCACTCTTAAACTAAGCACCGAAAATTTTAAAATGGTAAAGTATACGAAAATTTTTCTGCGGTCAAAGGTCGGGGAAAGGTCTATTCAGTGAATCATCCGGGCCAAATCATTTTACCGACCACTGGGATACGCAAACTACCGTACCTTACTGCGATGACGAGTCCAGCAATCCTTTTGCGTGTGATAATCGCCCACGTGATTCAAGCGTGCGAATGCACACAGAGTACAGAATTAAGTGCACGATGCGCAGAACATCACATTTTGGTTTGGCGTTATTTGAGCACTTACAGCATTCATTTTCACACCATATTTGTGTTTGGGGGTATTTAACCGTTACCTCAGCACCAGCAGACCAATTCCAGTACTTAAGCTCATTCTGTCATTACTCAGTTAGACACAAGATTTTGAAAGGCTCTTTAAAATTCAATTCTTTTGTTACCGACACAACTTGCCGACATATCAAACAAGCATTATGGTATTTTCCCTCCCACATCCAGTTGAAAATCTGTTTGCATTGTCAACTTTCTTTTCAAACTCATGTTATTGTTGATAACTTAAAACAAAAATAACTGCAGATTGATTGATTACCGAATGTGAGGTACAGGAGGGTACGGTAATTACTAAACTTTCTTACATATAGGCAGCAGTTTTTGTAATACTCTGATACTGTTTAGGTTGTTCGCAAAAAAAAAACCCAGCGTGAATTTTATTGTTAGGCCATAACATTGATATTTAGTCATCAAGCATAGCCAATCTAGGCTAATAGAATTCGCATTCTATTTTTTGTTTTCCATGATGCCAAAATTGTTAGCATATATTCCCGACCAAAAAAATAGAAAGCTAGACAACAATTTAGACTGTCAACGTGTCAAGCATTCAACTTCGCTAGTTGCCTTAGCTAGCCATAACATTCTGACACTAGTCAATTCAGTGACATTATAGTGATATTTCTGGTTTATTTTATGACGAAACAACACCAAATGCGATTTTTCGATTACTCTTCGAATGTGACGCGGGCCACAAATAATGAAGATAATATTTTTTTTTCAACTTTCTAAATATTATCCAGTGGGAAATAAAAGAGCGATGTGTATAATTGTTGGGTCTAGTATAGTTTAATAGGCTACCACAAATACTTCCGGTTGGCGTAGCATGATGAATTTCGCACATGTTATTCCTAACCCCCACCTGACTATGTCATCCAAAAATTATGTCAACAGGACATCACAATCACATCATAGAGCTTGCCAAATTATAGCTACGATCGTCTGAAATGCGCCCACAGTAACAAACTCACTAACGCCACCGGTCTCTCTTATATCGGGATTGTTACGGTGAGAAAGCGAGAGAAATAGCTTGCTCGATATCTGGTGATCGTCTGCGTGTATTGTATGACAGTTTTTGTTTTGTTTTGAGGGCCTTATTACTCCGTTGCTATGTAAATTGCAAAAATTGTTATGCTACGACCACCAGGATTACGTTAGGTACGAAACTACACTAGACCCGGTTAATCTACCTGATATCAAACTTTGTAATTCTGTATTAGTATACATTGCATCCACTAAATATCTTGGTTCTTTCTTTTCAATGATCTCAAAGATGATCTTGACCTGAAATGTCAATATAAATTAATTTATTTTATAGCTCGATTCCCCTACAATTGTTCTACTACCACAGTTTTTCAATGATCATAATTATAACAAAAAGTTAAAATTTCATACAATAATGCTTTTGCATAATTCAGTGCATTTCTAGATCTGAGAATGTCCGTCAAAGAATGATATCTGGGAACATTCCCTCATTCGAAGCACTCCATAGAAAAAAAAATCTGTGGTTGTTTATCAGGAGATGTAGAAATTCAAACAACATCTTGTTACAATCATCATTCGATTCCCAGATACTGTTTATGACAGGTTATCTCCGATTCCATACTTTCTCACTTATGTTCTCTTGATATAAAAAGGACCTGTGAGCTATGAGGAACCCTTTTTTCAGTCCTATGAGGTTTACTATGAATTTGATTCACATCATTGTGGTATTTTACTGATGATATTTTTATATTCTGTGCTATTTTTGTATTTGTCTGTGTTACTTAATATAGACCATGATGGTCACCAAAGTTACTCTGGGTCTCTTGTACCTCAAGTACTAATAGTGGGTGCAGCATAACGATTTTTGCCCCATCAATCTTAACCCAACCTGACTACAGAAATTACATCGCAATCACGTCAGAGCTTGCCAAAGTATACCTACGGTTGCCCGAAAGCCCTGAAGGCATTTGCACCGACGATAAAGAACTCACTAGCGGCAGCGATCTCTCTCATCGGGATCATTGCAACGAGAAAACAAGAGAAATGGCTTGCTCTATTTTGGGTGATCGTCTTCGCGACTTGGATGGCAGTTTGTATAGTTTAAAGGACCTTATTACGTCACTGTGACGTTGTAGTGGGGTAATTTTTGGATGACACAGTCAGGTGGGGGTAAGGATTGTTATGCTACGCCCACTAGAAGTACTTGAGGTACGAAACTACACCACTTCTTACTCTGAATACACATGCAAACAGATTTTTTAGAATTGTATGAACCAGAATTAATTTTGCAAGAAATGTTATAATCGTACCCTTATGGTGCTAGTTTGGAAAACAATAATTTCACCATTCTTTAATTAATGATATTGCAGCTGCATTGGTTACAAAACCCTTTACAGTTACCTAATTATTCAATTGAATATAGTCTAACGTTAATATAAAATCATTATCAACGTCTTTGTCTAAAATATACTGGTATCATGGCATCTGCCTTATCAAATCGTAGTACACGACTTGTATCCTCAATATTGAGATTTTTAAAAGATGAATTGGATAAAGTCACTCCTGAACAAGCGGAAAGCTTAGAAGTATCTATTCAATGTTTAAGATTGGCTTATGACGTTACAGAGGAAGACAGTGATGAGCCAAGTCTTCTCGATATATATATTAAAGCTGTCCCACAGGTAAATGCTAAAATTATCTTACAGAGTTTGGACAGCACAATGATTTGAAGCAGTGCTTCCCCACTTTAGAACTTGGTAATTTGTTGAATTCATGTAGACAGTAGCAAAGACGTCGGTTCATGTAATTGGTAATCTTATGGCCAATGAGAATATAATTTAAATACTAGTTAAACAGGGTTAATATACTTTATTTTACGTCCTAACTTTGTTTGATTCTTGTAAGCCACAAAATGGATAATTTTTTCAAAAGAAAAGGTAGCAAAATAGCAAGCCTCGACTTGATCTCATGAAATCCAATATGCCAGCTCAAGTTTCGCTTTTAATAATAGTAAATTGCATGGGGACACATTGTCTCTTTTCTTATATATTAATTAACATCTCATTGTGGGTGGCACAAAAAATATGGTAATAAAAGTGGGTCGCGAACTGAAAAAGGTTGGGAAGCACTGATTTGAAGAATTGAGTTGTTTTGTGATGCTTTTATGTTCAGAATTCATAGAAGAGTGATAATATATGAAATCATAAATTATTTATAAGACACCACCCTGTTACCCTTTTATATTTTGTTGCTTCTTCATTGATATTCAAGCCTGATTATAGTTTGCCTTTATCTAACATCTTTAGCATGATCAACCAGTTGATTGTACAAACACGTACATTATACAGTGACATACAGCCGACAAGAAGCAGCATCTAATCAGCACTTTACCACCAAATGCAGTGATTTTGTGTGAGATCTGCATATAGCTCTCATATTTTCAGAAAATAGTCTTGACGATTTGACACCATTTCATAAAATGTATACAGTTTTACAGAAAACAATAACATGGTGCAGTTTGCGGTTTTATTTTGCTATTTTATATTTTCTTTCTTGCTGCAGACAGGAAAAGAAGCTTATGAAGTCTAAAAACCTTGCTGTAGTTGGAAGTCATTTAATTTCTGCATTTGAACATAAATTATAGGTATAATTACTTGTGCATGTTGGAGAATTTCAGATATAACTAAATTGCTTCAAGTTGATATTGATTTTCAGGAAGAAATCAAACCAATCTCTGAAGAACAAAAAGCTGAAGCAGAAAAATTAAAGCAACAGGGAAATGAGTTTATGAAGAAAGAAATGTTTGATGAAGCAGTAGGAAGTTACACCAAAGCAATTGATGTTGATTCTATGAATGCAGTATATTACTGCAATAGGTCAGAATGACATTGATAAATTATTAAAAAATTTCACTTAGTTTGTTAATGTTATACTTAACTAATAATACTAGTCCTGTTGTAAGTAAATAATTGCTTGCAAAGAATTGCTAAACTATTCCACAGAAGCCAGGATTCGTCGTATGATTAAGTCATGTTATTGCTTTTCACTACTTCCGATTCATGATTATGTACAAAAGTTATAATTAAATAATTGAATCTTATGATTAATGAAACTCTAACATTTGAAATTTTGAATAATAGTATTATGGTAGTTTTGTGATAATGATCAACTTGTGCATTGATGTTAATTGTTGTTTTCATATTAGTAAATTTATTGAAAATCAATAAATACCGTATTTCCCGGCGAATAAGTCCCTTTTCTAGACCCAAAATTTTGACCTGATTTTGGGGGGTCGCCTTATCAGGCGAGTACCTTAATTTTCATTTTTTTGGTGTTGCCCTATTATGTGTTAGGTAATGTTCTTTCATGGTGGACGCAATCGCGAGTTGAACACAATTAGATTAAAATTTGAAGACAGTTTGAATTTCCGTAGTTATTATGAATAGAATATTACGCTACAAGAAAACGTCATTATAAGCTATTTTAACCAATGCGCAAACGCGGCGACTGCTCAAAAGGCATTGCATGGTAATTTGAGATTCCGATGTTGATGCGATTTTACTACCCCGACTTATTGGCAGGGCCTAGTCTTATTTACCGGGTAGACTTATTCACCAGGAAATATGGTAACTAATTCCAGCCATTCAATATTTCCAGAGCAGCTGCGTTTACTGGGTCAGAAACCAAAATTTTGATTGATAGTATAATATATATATAAGTATACAATTTTTTTTCTTATGCATTTTAATGTTATTTTCATATTATTAGAAATATTGAAAATCAATAGCCTAATTAACTAATTCAAGGCGTTCAATACTTTCAGGGCAGCTGCATATACTGGATTAGAAAACCATGAATCTGCTTTAAACGATTGTAAGAAGGCACTAATTATTGATAGTAAATACAGCAAAGCTTACAGTCGGATGGGGTAAATATTCTTCAACCTATTGATACATTCATTCTCTGAGTAATTGTATTCTATTATAGATGGTTAGTACTATTTCCGCTATGTATTTTGAATATCATCCTGCTATTTAAACTAATTGTCATTTGTATTTTTATCCTTAAAAACGTATTCTCTTGTTTAAATATATAATTAAAAATTGATAATTATTATTAATCATAGTTATAACTTGACATAGGTAAATGCAGCTGGCTCACTTAAAATTGTTGCACGCATCACTTGCACAGAATGTAACCTTTATTCTAGCAGTACAATCCATATAAATTTCACCCTATGCAGTAACTAGTAATGAGAAAAACTTTTTAGTTCAAATGTTTCATTCAAGTCGGATAATTTTCCATGTAGATGATTAAAAAATGAATCTTCGTCATGTCAAATGCTGGTGTTTATGGAAATTGAAGGATTTCTGCAAATGAGAAATAACCCCCACAGAATTTCTTAGTAAATAGAGAAGTTTGTATTGTCTTAAATTATGGAAGCCTCATTTTTGTTATAACTGCTATCGAGAGTGGCAGCTTTTCTGGATGACCAACTGATCTTACAGGTGATTTATATACACAAAATTCTCTTTAGACTGACATATTCTAAACTGGAAAATTACGAACAAGCTCTTGAATGCTATGAAAGGGCATTGAAGTTAGATCCCACAAATGAAGGTTACAGAAAAAATATGCAAATAGCAAAGGAAAAATTAGATGAAATCAAATCAAATATGGTATGTATGGGTTTGGCAAGTAACATTTCACAAAATTTATATGAATTGTTTCAAATACTGAACCATTCCTGAGTTTAAGCTAATGCAGCAGCTGCACCTAATTGAAAGCAATTTTGTCAGTTTGATCTTGTTTTTAAATTTTCAATCTTTTCATTTGAGAGTCCTGTCATTTAATTTTGATTTTCCTGGACTTGATACCAAAATTATGGAAATATAAATTTCGTTGCAAGTACTGTGGCATAATATCACTCTCATATGCCATGAAAAATTGTATTAAGTTACTTGCATACTTTTTAGGGGCAATTGAAGGACCTTGTTGTAACCTTCTGTAGCTTCTTTCAGACAGAATTCAAATATACGGTGCTACTTGATATGATTTTATCGATGAAAGGGGGCATCGTCAAGGTGTCAAATTGAAAGTTTTGCTCTTCATGATACCCTTAATTTACATAAAAAATCTCTTAGTTTATCTGTTTTCTTTCCTAGACTTCTGGACCTGGTATGCCGGATTTATCACAAATTTTCCAAAATCCTGCTTTGATGAACATGGCTCAACAGGTAATATATGAACCCAAGATATTTTCTCTATCCTGCTATTATTTTTTGTTTGCTTGTCTCGTGTTGTACTGAAATGTCTTCATGTATCAGTTAATTTCAACATTTAGTAGTCAGTAAGTTGTCGTATATCGTGCACAAGCTAATTTCAAATTATGCTCTCAGGTTATGAGCGATCCAAACATGCAACGAATGGCAATGAATATGATGGGTGGCTTTATGGGAAGAGGACAAGGTGAAGAACAGAGTGCAGAACCACAACAAAGCGGTGATTCAGCTCAGACAGTACCTGACATATCAGATATGCTGCAAATGTGAGTAAATTACGTAACATTTCTTAACCTCCTCCTGATAAAATCATTTATTGGATGAATATTAAGACTTAATTCAACCATAAACAAGAGTTTGTTATTTATTGTTATAGGGGCCAGCAGTTTGCTTCCCAAGTTTCGCAACAGCATCCAGAGTTGATTGAAAATTTGAGAAATCAAATGAATAGACCACCAGGTTCTAGTGATAATAACGAGAGTGAAGGAAATTGAAGAGCTGGACTGTCTTGCAGAGATTGATGGTTCTTGCCTTCCAAGATTTATTCTATGACTACTTCAGTGTGGCAATGTGGATAATCGTAATAATATAAATTTGTTCTATGGTGAATAAGCTTCAAACTTGTTTTGAATTAAGAGTATTTATGATAAAGTTTTCTCAGGTCATTGGATGAACCTTTTATGCTCTCCTGTTATATCAGTTGGCTGGCCTTGGTTAGGTTGATAAATTCTTGAATGTGATCTTTTATTGTGTAGAGATTATTGTTAACAGATTGTTTCATTAGTTGTTTTCGTCCATGGATTGTTTTCAATTTCTGCACCAAATCATACGCTGCAATTAAATGTGCCTGGATTCCAAAATAATTTTTTCATGTGAAACATCTCTATTTGTCTGTCTAATAATTTCAATAATTCGCATGTCCTGCCATGAAAAGTTTCAAAAGTAAATATTCTGTTTAAGTAATCTAGGAGGCACAAGAATTAGAGTTAGGTGGAAAAATCGTGAAGGGTTTTCAAAAAAAGAGTCGCCCGCAACCGCTCATTTTCTTCCATTTTTCATAAAACCATAGGTCGATGTAGTCACTTCAAGCTTATCCGAAATGTGCCGAAGCCACATTGCGCGATCCCTGATTAAACGGGATACATTTCAGTATGCAAAACCTGTTGACAGGAGCAGAGCAAATACGCAAGGCATAAACGCTTGTCCCCGCAATGTACCATTGGATAACAAAATTCAGTCGACATCGGCAGTCGTTACACCCAAAATAAGGTTAATGTGCTTCGACTCGAATGCCCATATCATTGGTGCATATGTGTCCTTGGTTAAATTTCCATCTTGTTATTGTTACCGGAGTAGAAAACCCTAGTTTCAGAAAGGTATGTTGTAGGCATTCGGGCGAGAATGGAAAAAGCTTTTTTGGAATTTCAAGTAGTAACGCCCGAAAGTTCATTGTAGTTTTCAAATGTTTCGAACTTTTTTTTGTACCCAATCTGATTCAAGAAGTGCACCAGCAGTCGACTAGAGTTAAATAATATCATAGCCTGCAATAAAAACTCTGGTGTTGGAATGTTAAATCACCTGCGTTTGAGTCTGTCAACTAAGCTAGCATATGTTCATAACACAAAACTGCACTCAAGGAGATGCTAAATGCCATATTCGAGATCAAGCAATGTCCCTCCTGTACCCCAAAGCGTGAAAGACCCACTGAATTTCAAGCAGCCTGTACTGCTACAGCATCCAACTTATCAGAACACAACATATATATTCAATTTAGTCTCCATACGAGTAGCCTACAATACTAAAGACAATGCGTCTTGAAATACCATCTATAATTCAACAAAAAACAGAAAAATTAGATTAGGATCTCTATTCAACCACCTCTACTTCTTCTTGCATTGGAATCTAGGAGTCTCTATTATCTCTGGATAAATCGAAGAGGCGAGTAAGCACTTATTTATCCTCTGTAATGTCACTGAAGATGACGTTAGAAAGATTATGACAAGCCAAGTTTCTATTGCAAAACAACGAAATGGAAACCGTTACAGGTTAAACAACCGAAAAATTCGCCAGAGATTGGTATCTCTTCTGAACGACAGCACGATCAGCAGCTTACATCAAGGCTGGATCATTTAGAATTTCATAACATACTCGCACGAAGAAGATGGTAAAAAATAAACATTGAAGATAGCAGAACGAATCAATGTACCGCTGCAATCATTTGACATATCAAGCTGCCACTAGATGTCAAAGTCAACAAAAAACAAACAGATAAATTGGCCAAATTTTGTGAAGATCAACTTTCCATAATCGAATAGAAAAGAACACTCATCGTCGAAACCTTACCAACAACAATAAGGTTTATTCTTTAATAAATATAGACATAGTTTATTTTGAAACCTCTTTCAAAAAGAAAGGCAATATTTACCCAGATAAATACAATGACATATTAACAGAAACTTCGGGAAAGCAGACAAAACCTAAAATAAGGTTTAAAACGTTACTATGAAGAAAGGAAAGGTAATGCAGAGATAAGGACATGCGTCGCTCACTCATAGATATATATGCTGCTAGACTTCTACTGCTTGAACATATATGCAACACGCCGCGGTTTCTTGGAAGCAAAATGCTCAATAACGCGCTGATTAAAGTCATGCATCCCAAAATAACGTCTCTGTGAATGGATAAAACAGCCAAGGAATTTAATCTATCTTGCTTCATTGTGTTTCTGAGATACGTTTTAATACGCTTCAGCGTGCTGAATGTTCGCTCTGCGTCGGCGGAAGAAATAGGCGTCGTCAAAATGAGGTCCAGAAATTTTGCAGACGCCGCAAAGGTAGTTACTAGAGTGTTATCTATGAGGAACCCATAGAGCGCGCAAGTTGATGTGATGTTCAAAAAAGTTTGATTGGTGTATATACATCGCAATTCATTTTTCAATTTACCCACGTTTATCATGGGGTAAAATTTGGAGACAGTAGCCAACAAATGGATGGGAAATTGACGTGCAAATTTTGAAAAATTTTTGGGGTTTATCAAAGAGAACGCGGCAAGGTGTTCAGTGCGCAGACGATCGCCTATTTGATTCACCAGAATGTCACAGCATTCCTTTGCAGACAAAATCAAACGCTGCGTTGTTTGCCCGCGGCGTAAAGAAGCACTCCATGTGTCGTCGTATTTTATTGTTTCCCGGATACGAGATACAGCATCGCAGAAGTCTGAAATACACGACTGCACAGACGCTGCGTTGTAAGTCTGTAATAGGCCGCTAGCCGAGGCCCTGAAAAACGCCTAGAAAGTGAGTTTCGTAGCGCACATCAGGTAACTAACTGAAAATGATTTTAAAATGTTCCTTAAAAATTTAGTAACAAATATTGCCTTGTTCCCACTTCCAAAAGTTGCACGTTTTACGGAAAAGACGTTTTTACTCCGAGCAATGACATTAAACAACGAGAAATATGTGCTACGATCTGTCCGATACGATTTCCGGCAATGAACAATGACTTCTGCATGACGTAACAATTGAATCGAATCAGCTGTTAGCGAGCGGATGAATCTTAGTTATTACTGCTCGATCTTGCGTTGAGTTGGGCAGCCTTTCCATAGCCCTGTTTAGTTATTATTAGTTAAGTTATGCTTAGACTTTGTTAAAAAGTATAAGTAAGTTACTAAACACTTGTACATCCTTACCACGGATATGGGCATGAGACGAGGACTTTAAAAAACGCCTAGAAAATGAGTTTCGTAGCGCACATCTGGTAACTAAATAAATTCTTTAGTTTTGTATGAGAATGAACATACTGAACGCATTACAGCTTGTTCCACAATTCTGATGCAAAATTGAATATGGGGTTCCCGGGAATTCAATAACCATAGGTTTACAACAACGCAGCATAAGAACTATGCAATTCAAGAGCCCTACAGCACACTAACACAAATTTATTTCTGTAACGTCTTGCCTGACCAAAATCAGATTTCCTCAGTCAATCATAATTTATTAGGTAGATTACGAAAAATATGGCATACACGTAATCAACAACAAAAAATATTTTAATTGTGTGACAGGATTCGCGAAGGACCTCGAAAGGTCTTCAAGCATGGACACCAACAACGCTGATTCAGATTAGCGAATAAATTGTATGTAATAACCACAAGCAGTTTACAACAAGAACAGCATAAGATGTTGCATTCATTTTATAGAAGCTATCAAACGTATTTATTTTTAAGCAATGAGATCACAAATTAACATCGTGAGCACAAAAACACGAATAAATCAGGTATTTCTCACTTAGAAATTTACAGGAAAAGTCAAGAAAATTAAATGAATGTACAATATGTACATAGCATAGTGAACAGAAATATTACAATTAGTCTTTTTTTAGTTTATGTGGTTATGTATTTGAACAAAGGGAATATTATTTCTAGAAACAGGACTACGACACTAACAGATGTTCGAAAAAATAAATAAATAACATTTATTAAATCAACTTCAATATCCAATCCACTTTCTTCTGAATTGTTTCCGAAATCCACTATCTCGAAAATCGACTTTTCTGTGGCATTTGCAGTCAATACAAAAACAAAAATCTGTGCAATTTAGGTTGCTTTTGGCACACGTGCATATATTATTTTGACTATTGCCAACACTTGCAGTTTGCCAACTCAAGAACTGATTTGGGGGCTGGAAGTGGATCCATCAATTTAACCCGCAGAACACTCTTATCAAGAACACATCTATGGCCGATAGGTGGGAGAATAATTGGCCTTGGTTCTAGGCAACAATGATGAAGTCCTGCCAAGTAATTTTCCATCAGCTTGCTTGCTTCTTGCCCCACATGCTTCTTCAGTGAATCATTGTTGGGTGGAAGAGTATAATCCATATGTTTGCCAATGGTAAAAAGACGTGCCTGGTATCATTTACATTAATAGGTACACAATGCATTTTATCTGATGTACTCAATAAGCGTATACATGCTCATTGCATGTACTACAGTCCTGCAGTGTTTGCATGCCGGTACTAGACTATATCTACACTGAATTTGGATATATCACAATCTGAAATGCCCTATGAAGTATATTTTAAAACATTGAACTGTCCGTCTACAACTTTATTTCTCACCTCTCAATCGCTTCCAGTGCTACTTTTCTCTCCACTGCGGCATAACTTATCATTTCTTCCCAGGTTCTTGTCGACTCTATGAATTTAGATTTAGACCAACCGACAGCAGTAAAATTGATTATTTTCCTCTCTTTCACACAACCGTGCATTACAGAACAGCCATTGTTTAATATCCTACTCATACTTTTTCACCACCTTCTTAGAATAACTCAATTAATAGTAACTGAAAAAGACTGTGGAAAGGCTACTCAACGCAAAAGCGAGCAGTAGTACATCTGATATTCATCCGACCATGGGGGATCCACCTACAGCTAACCAATTTGATTGTTACGTCATGCAAAAGTCTGCGTTCATTGGCCCATGATACCGAAAAACATGATACCGAGAATATAGGACAGGTGGTAACACATATATATTGTAGTAAAAGCGTCTCTTCCGAAAAACGTGCAACTTTTGGAAGTGGGAACAAGGCAATATTTGTTACTAAATTTCTAAGGAACATTTTAAAATCATTTTCAGGTAGTTACCTTATGTGCGCTACGAAACTGAAAGATAAATGGCCTCGGCTCGCGGCCTATAACACTTCTTTCAGTACAGCCGATATCCCGCAAGCCGTGCGATCAACGATTGGTACAAAGCTGTGAAATCTCTCGGTAGGTTTATCATCTTTCACAAACCGAAAAATCACAGCCAGTTGGAAAACGCACGTGATGTCAGATGTCTCGTCAGACTGAATCGAAAGGAACTGGCAATTCACAATTTCCAGAGTCAAATGTTGTAAATAAATTTTATACATTGAGTCGAGCAAATCATTTTGGATATCCTTAGATG